ATTGACTTTCTCAGAGGCGTTCCTTATTCTGCTGGGTCATTCATTCCAAAGCCAAAAGTGTGACTCATTTAAAAGAGCAAGCTCAAGCTGGGGGGGTGCAGGAAGGAAGAAAAATAGCTTGCAAGAGCCTTCCTGTTTATCCATGGCTTGGGAAAAAGAACATCACAACAGAACGCGCACACCCTGGCTCTATTATCTTGGCTGGCACAGCACTGCCTTGGCTCTGTCCCTCACCCACTCCCGGCCAAATCCAGCCCCACCACCGGCGTGTTTACTTTAGAGGAGTTTACTCCAGAGTAGACTGTGGCCCCCCGAAGCCTGAACGCTCGTGGTGTGTGAGCGAGCGGCCACGCGGGCACCGGCAGCCCCCACCGCAATGTGCCGCGGCCCTGGCCCCCCGCCACGCCAGTGAGGTCGTTCTCTTCCCGGCAATTAGTGAAGCAGTGGCATCGCTACAAGGAGCTGAATAAATGCATTGAGGCGGGCCGGGTCCCCGCTTGCTCCATTCTCACCACCCTTCCTCCTGGGCACGCAGTGGGGCCCCATCCCTGTGCACGGCGCTTGCGTTCAGCCAGCTTGGAAAGGGCTTTTAGGAAAGAGGAGGGGGTGGGGGGAAAAACAACCCTTTGGCTTTTCTTCTTTTACGACAGACGTCTTCCCTTCTTCTTTTCAGGGAGGAAAAATGCCAGCTTCTCTCAGGAAACTGCAGCAAATGGCTGTTTTCATGGGACTGTTCAGCGGCGGGGGATGCATCGTGATGTATAATCTTATGCAAAGTACGGCTTGGTGCTGTTAGCAACCTTATTTCTCCTCTGCCCCTTTCCTTTGCTTTTGTGTAGCAGGGAAAATAGCAGCACACAAGATGTGGAAAGCGGATAAAGTTAAGGGAAGCGGGGCTGAGCCTCTGGGTTCTGCCTCTCTTGGGCTCCGCTTTGTTCAGCCCCAGGGCTGCCGCATGCATTTCCAGAGGTGGGTATTGCGTAGGGAGCAGGCTGCTGTTGCCAGGAGAAAGTCTGGTTTCTGGGGGGTTTCCTGAGGGTGAGGGCAAAATGAAAGCTTAGGCAGTAACGCAGGTTTCGTTTCTTACCGAGATTTTACAACTGGGCAGGAAGAGGGGACCATCTGTGAGACGGTGTTAAAGCCTAACAGTTTTATCTGTAAATCTCTGCGGTGCTGGCCCTCAAACACAACACACCCATGAAGCGCTAAGACATCATTAGTTTCTCCTGAATGAAGGGAAGATAAGAGCACTCAACTTTGGAGAAGACCAGGACAGGGAGCAGAAATCTAGACAGGTGCCATTGCAGTTTACACACGCCTCTAGTTGCTACGTGTCTGGCCAAGAATCCAAGTTATTCGATAGATGTTTTTTTCTAAAATTGTTTCTAGATATTTAGTATCAGATCAGAAATAGGCTTTGCCTCTCTCTCGGGGGATGATACAGGCCTCTCGTGACCCTGTGCCTCTCCCTTGCTGCTACTGTCAAGTGATACTGCTTTACAACTACCCTTATATCAGAGGATGCTGCCAGAAAAGTGTAGCCAGACCTGTTTCTCAAGTCCCCAGATAAGCTCTGAAACCTCCCCTTCATTTTACACATATTAATAACAAATCAGACAAGTCTGGAAAGCAGGCTTTAATTTTAGGCAGCTCATGCCCTCAAGCTCTGGAGTGCATGACAGATATATGATCCTCTTATGCTTTAAATATTGAATCTGGCTTTAACAAGGACATTAGCATTTTTTAATTTTCAGCCGTCAGCATTGTTATCTCGGAGCCTCTGGGGAGGGGAAAGCCCCCCCTGTTCTATACAGAAAGTCAAAGGGCTCATTCCCCGCATCACTTAGCTGTGCAACCAAGTGGCGCAATGCGACAGCTACTTCTTGCTCTGCTGCAATATTGGTGGCCACCAAGGACCTGTCTGGTAACTCAGTGACAAGCCAACCGGGCTGTTGAAAGGACATTTTCTGCTGCAGAGCGTGTCCCTCTATAGCCTCCAACAGACAGGGGAGCCACACTGGGACCCTTCCTCCCTTGGCCCAAGCCCAGGTCTATCCCAGTGTACAGAACCGGCCCGTACTGGGATGTGTGAAAGCCAAGTGGCTTCCGTAGTGGTGGGAGAAGGGAGAGAGGGATGCTTCCCTCCCCCCCTTCCTTCAGGCTGAAGGGAAGTTTGCACGCAGATGGTCTCTGTGAAAGCTTGTACGAACACTCAGGGAATCCTATTTCTACTCACTCTCTTCACCTCTGCACCTTTCTCACAGGAACAGTCTCCCCAGCCAACCCCAGCATCCTTTCAGCTATCCTACTGAAAACGTGTGGACAAACAGATTAGTCGATGTTTTATGTCCACTACACAAGATGCTAACAAGGAACAACCGAGAAGGAGCATCAGTAAGCTCAAACCCATTTCCCCGCCAACTTGCAAGATGAGCACAATGTTCTTTTAACACACTTGCCATGATTCATAGGCACTAAAGTGCTGGCTTGCTGCAGCCTCTGTTGCCAGAGTTCCTTAGGATGGTCCATGAGTCTGGGGAGGACCAGAGCAGGCTGCAGCCTAGCAAAGCTGATTCTATGCCAACTGGATGCTGCCTGCTCATGGGGGATGCCTGCAATTAGGGAGAGGGGGCAGTGTCCTTCTACCTCATGCTCCAAGAGTAATACAGACAGGCAAGAGACCAGGGAACAAACCTTACACCTCATTTTAAAGTCTTTGGAAGGCAAAAGCAAAGTTGCCAGAGTAGGATTTTCACACCTTCACACACTGTCCTTCTTGATGTCAAGAGAGTGAAGTTAGGCTGGCGTGAAGCACATCTAGAAATCCCAGCAGGGAAGCCTTAAAAAACTGTTTATAAGTAAATCTCTGCTTCCATAAGGAGGGTCGGCACATTTCCAGCCTCACAGCTCTGCGTTGTCCATTGGTGACCACTGCACAGCATTTCCCAGCTATACATAGCAACCAGACTGACAAATAGTGATTTACCACAGTTGCCCTCCATATGCCAACACTGCAGCATCCAGTCCACTGTGCTGTGGTTGCTGCTTGACCACTGACTCTAACAGCACTTCTTTGTGCCTCCCTTTTAACGCCTCCATCAGTAGAGTTGCAGCTTCGTGGCTGCCACTTGAAAAAGCTGTATCAAGACCACAGAAAGTTTCACAGCAGCAGCAGCTGTCCCTGATTCACACCAGTGTCTGCAAAACATTATCCATTCTTAAAGTATCTTCTGTACCTCCTTTTTAAAAAAAAAAATTACCTCCAGAACATTTTCAGATATTCATCCTTACGCTTTTCCCGCCCCCCTCTCCTTTTGGATGATGTACACACACACAAAAAGCAGGGATACACAGCCGTAAGCTGAGCTGCGTATCAGTATGGAGCAGGCTGTATTCAGAGCCCTCTTCACTTAAGTGAGCTGAATAACATTACAGTACAGCACTGCTCCTCTGATGTAAGGGTGTGTTTCCTCCTTTAGCCAGATTTCTCCTAATTAGTAGTTTCGGAGTGTTCTTCAGGGAGGGTGTGGTAGTCTAGAGGAAATGTCTTTTTTTTTTTTACTTATGTTTTGATTTTAAGCAGGCGGTCTACTCACTACCTTGTTTCTCTCACCTAGAAAGCTTTGCCAGGACCCAGTACTACCAGCAGGCTTTAGAGCAACTGAACAGCAGCCTTGATGCCCTGGAAGCCCTGGGTGCCCCCCCTCTTAAGGTTCACAACATCCGCCTGACGGATGGGAGTAATCGTGTGGACACAGAAAGAGCACAGGTAATGCTGTGGAGGTGGTGTCACAGGATGGCTTTCTAAGGCACCGGGTGACAAGAGATGAGTCGGGGGATTTTCAGCAGGTCACGAGTGGCTGGAGGGCACTGGGAGGCAGTAGGATTGGATGCCAGTTGATTTGGAAGAGGAACGGATTTCCAGAGCGTAAATCTACACTCTGATGTGAAGGACTAGAAACAATAAGAGCAGCATCTTCATGCTGTGCTATATGGGGCCATTACAGAACGTCAAGGGACCTCCTAAGCCAGTCGACCCCCTTCCTGCTACTGTAAGCCACAAAATAGTTTTCAGAAACATATCAGAACCAGCTTTAAAATAGCAGCTGGCTCCCTTTCCCCCCGGATACATCCCACGCTAGTTTGAGGCTTTGTTCAGAACGGAGTTGTACAGCCGCTTACGATCTACGCTGTGGTCCAGCACAAGCGGTGCGGTTTGCAAAAGCACCTGTAAGCCTGTGCCACGTGGAAGGGCTGCCTGGCACAGGACGGAGCGCGTGGGTTACGTAGCGACCGGAGAATGTCGCGCGGGGTGCTGGAGCGTTGCACAAGGCTGCCTTGCGTCAGCCCGGGGCTGGGCCGAGGCAAACCTTGCAAACACAAGTCTGCTTCCACTCGGGGTAGCTGCCTGAAAAAGACTTTCCATCGATGTTTTTACTCCTTAATCCAGGACTGGCCACCCGCCCTTGGTTCTGCTGGTGACGCAAAGCGTCCCTAGCGACCTTTCCCAGTCCCTCACTGGGGGATCTTGTCACATTTGAATAATTTTGTTCCTCCTGGTGAGTAGTTTTGAGTTCTGAGGATCAAGCAAGGGCATTAAGGAACAGGGCAGGTGGTACAGTGAAGGACAGGGTAAGAAATACCAACCTTTAACCAACTCATGTAAAATTCAACTTTCCATCTCACTCCAGCCAGGCTTCACCCACATGATACCCTGGGCCAAAATACTTCCCAGGTTTTGGAGATTCTACCAGGAAACATATCAAAGGCCAGAAATGTGCAAAAAACCCCACACAACCTTTTATGCCAATAGGAAGAAGAAGAGAACCTGTCTCACTGATGTTTTCCTATGTCACTCTTCAAGAATGCTGGTTGCTTGGTTGACTCAGGGTGAAGTCAAACTCTGCCTTCTGCCAACCTCACCCAAGACACAAACCACCAACTTTCTTCTTGGCTTTTTCATGCTCCTCAGCATTCATGTTCTCATGAAATAACCTGGTTAATCATCGTTAATGATTATATCATGGATCAGTTTACGGAATCCACAACATTCCCAGCTCCTGGGCCTGTTGGAGAACCCTTACATTTTCTCTCTGAGATTTTAGTACCACCAGCAAGAGCTACACCTGAAACACTTCTTTTATTTAAACATTAGACCAAGTACAATTAGCTGTGGCTGCTGCTGTAGCTCGTAGCTTTGTTTGTTAAACAACTGAGTGGTAGAATTAGTGATGCCGAGAAAAAGCATTGAACATCTCATTGCCTTGATGAGTGTTGAGGCACTGACCTGTAGAGAATCTTGACCTATAAGCTTGTTATAGTTATGGGAAGCTCTAACACAGTGCAGGTCACCTCTAGATCGCCATGCATTCTAGTAAGGAAAGGTGTTTGCTCATAAATATTTCGGAGAGCGAGTGGTTTTCCCTGGGGGTTGCAGCTGTAACAGTGAATTCTTTCAGCAGAGAGAGATTAATGCATGGCAGAACAGACATACAGACTTGTATATCCACGCACATGTTAGCCATTAGAGAAGCTCAGCGAAACTCTGAAATAAAGTTAAAAAAAAGTAAAAAAAGTTAAAGTTAAAAAGGTGTCAGGTCTTTGACTGCAAAAAGAGTGAACGTCTATTTCATAACATGCTTCACTGAATCTTTGAGATACTTTTACATTTGCAGATAAAGTTGCCCGTATCTGGAACAAAATCAGCGGGGTACCTCTACATCAACTCAGAGATGGACCACTCCCACCAACGGTGCGTACTAGGGGAGGTGCCGGGAGGAACGTGTAGATGCAGAGAGAGAAGTGGTAGGAGAAGAGAGTGGAGCAGGATGTTTGCCTTAGTCATCCGTGTTGCTGAGATCATGCACACACAGGAAGCAGAAATTCATGTCTGAAGGTCTTGTGAAAGGTTATTACCATCATTACGACAAAAATGTAAATTAGTTGAGAAATATATTAGATTCATCCCTACGAGTACACATAGAAGAGCCACACGAGCCGCTCATTTGTGTGAGACGTGCTCTGCAAACTACAGCTCAGTACACACACAAATACTGTGAGCCAAGGTAACGTGTTGTGTGTCCCCTCGAGCCCTCCTCCCCAGGGAGGTGCAGAGGCCATCAAACAGCAGTCCTAACTCCAGCCTGGTGCTCCATGATGCAGTAGGAGAATTACAGGTTATATGAGAGCCTGTCAAGGTGAGCTAAAAGTCACGGAGGATCTTTTTTCAAGCTATCCAATAAATATGGTCCTTATTGTTAAAATTGGGCTAGAACAGATACATTATAGTAGGATCATGCTCCAATTCCACATCAATATAGAAGCAGCTTTACATTTTTGTTGTACTGAAGCCCAAAAACCTCCTTTGTCAAGGATAAAATGATTTCTAGAACCGAGCAAAGAATTTCTACAGGAATTCAAAGTCCCTCTTCCATTGCAAAAGAGGACACTTTATTAGATGCAAACCTCTTCACGCATTCTTGGAGTTTGCTAGGCGCTTCTGTTAGCTCTATTTAGAGACCCAAAGCGACCACATTTTTACTCAGCTGCCACCAGCCATATGGCAATGCTTTCTTGTCATGTAGACGAGCACGACTTACTGGATTTTACTTCCCATAGTTAGTCAGAAGACAAGTGTAGGATGATGGGAGGAAGGCACTAAGCTGGAATTTGGGAGACCCGAGGCCAGGCCTGGCCTCCTCCCTAGTGTCCAGAGATACCCCAGAGGTGCCTGTCCACTTTCCTTGCACACCTGTGCATCCCCGAGGTCTGGGCTCCCATCTCCTCCCTCCTCCTTATCCCCTTCTCACAGATGGAGGGGAATAACAGTTCCCTCCTGTTTCCCTGAGTTACTGTGAGGATAACTGAAGATTGCAAGATGTTAAACTACAGCAGTAATTGAAGGGTCTTGAAATCTCAGAGTTTTATTCTAAAATAAGCTCTCCAAGCATTTCTGCAAGCTTAGGAGGGGGGGAAAAAAGGCATCTTCTGTAAAATGGTTTGTGGCAGACAAATCTGTCAGACTGAACCATCTCTACCTCAGTGCAGGGTCCTGTGCAGAGCTCCACTTGGGGCTAGGCAGGACCTGGTGTCCTTACACTCAGCTGAGGAACTGAGTGTAAAACGACTGGTTCCCCTCCACCCTTGGTAGAGGAGCTCCTGAAATCCCCAGGAATTCAGGAATAATAGATGCGTAAGCAGGCCATCCTGGTGGGGCTCTGCAGAGCATGCACGTGGGCATTTCCAACGGAGAACAGGGAGGAAACCAGACCATACAGACACAGTTGACCAACACCAAGAGGTGAGCCCCCTGGGCAAGAAGAGCTGAGGCTCCTGAGCCACTGAGACACTTCTGACTCTGAGCACGCAGCTTGTCCATAGCCATTTATTTATCTATGTGGTTATTAAAAACAGAAGGCAACTGAAAAAAAAGGAAGTTTAGAGCACATGAGCTGGTTTGGACCTGGAGAAGTCATCCACTCAGGCACAGGCAGTGCAGGGACAGGGTGGGCACCCCGAGGCAAGGGCGACCAAGGCACCAGCCCTGCAAAGTGACACCCCCCTGCCCCAAAATGAGCAGAGGGAGGGGCCAAGACCCACAGCCACACCGAAGGGAGCCAGCGGCTCCTTCCAGCCCCGTTGTAAAGGGGGCAGCTGCTGGTCCCGAGTGGGACGGAGGCAGAGGGCTGGCAAGCGGAGGGCTCTGCTGCAGACACATCGCACAGACCTTCTGAAAAAATCCTGTCTTAGTACCCTGAAACAACAGTCCTTCCCAGCTGGAAAAGCAGCACGAGCAGTCTCACCGAAGTGGGTTTGGAGCAGAGCTTAGAGGAAGGAAAAGGCTCCCCCTCAGTCCCCAACAAATGCAGTTTTCCTTCTGCTTTGAGTAGCCACTGTCGTACCCTGTCAGGGTTCCAGCAGTCACGTTGAGCGAGCACACACTGTTCGGACTTTGCCAGGCCGGGATAATTGCTTAGCAACACGGTCTGGCTCCAAGGCTGGAGAGGAGAGGAGCAAGGAATGCACCCGTAGGATGGGGAGGAAGAAAGGCACCGGGTCGGGGGAGGAATGTCCTATCTAAAAATAGCTGGCAGGATTTTATTTGAGTTGCAGCAAATAGGAACACACATCCCAGACCTTTAAATCTGGGCTATGCTACACTATTAGGGAAAAGAGCTTTCAGAAGCTTAAAACTTGGTTCACAAGTGCCAAACACTTAAGAAGTTTTTAAAAAGCAATGAATGTGTGGAATGATTTGTTTCTCTGGGCCAGCTGTTTCTACACTGACTTTACTACTATATTAAAAGTGATTGAAACAAGTTAAAAATCTCTTTTGGTTTATGTCAGCTGGTGCCTTCGCGATGTCACCTTGAAACTGCAGGATGGTCAGAATATTCCTGTTTACCACTCCTCAGTGGAAGGCACGGGTGTGCAAGAAGACTAAAAATCAAAGGCAGCTGCTTCTCTACCTCTCACTCAGCCAAAGGAGCCATTAATCGATTGCATCCCGCTGTGTCCGTGAACGTACACAGTTGCCACAAGTGACAATTTCACTTAAGTAGGTGCTTTCAAGACAATTTTCTCTCCAAGATTGACCTCATCATTGTCATAATTGTAACTTCTTTCTTTTGCTCATTTGTTCATGTGTTCAGCAGAGGCCTAAAATAAATATCTTGCGAAAGATTTGCTGTTCCAGAGAAGTCATGTGTTATGCCCTGCACGTGCTGATATTATGAATTTGAAATAAATAAACAAATGGCCAGGAAACTGAGCTTTGCTACAGTTGCAGACCAAAGTCAGGACAGTTGGGCTGGTCTGTCATGGCTAGAAGACTACGTCAGCTTCTCAAAGTGATTCCCTTTCTGCTTCAGTTTTCCCCCGTATCTCAGCAAGATGCCACCTAAAGCGGGAGGGACAAAGCAGCAAAGGTGAAGCTCAGCAGCAGCCCCCTCCACTCCTAACGAATAAGTCACATATCAGGTAGAATTGCACCCTGGCAGTTGTCATTAAAAAGCTCAAGGGATAGCTGAGGCCATTCACCATAACTTATGCATTCCAAGAAGAGACTCACTGCTTGCACTGAAGGTTACTGAGAAAAGCCACTGCTTCACACCGGCACTGCCCCACGCGAGTTTGGGAGAGCACGTTTGCTTAGGGAGAACACTCAGGAGGTGCAGAACAGGTAAAGCACTGCCACAGTTCACTCTGACCACAACAAGAGATTTTGACTGTGCCTGGGTTCTGTCAGTCAGGTAGAGAATTGCCCATCGCCAGAAGCAAGTTAAGAAATAAGGCAAAAAAAAAAAAAAGAAAACAAAAGGCAAAAAAATCCCACACAATTTCCACTCCCCGCCCCAAACTAAACATTCAGACAATTGCAAAGCTGAAGGTACAGTCTGAGACAGAGAATAGACACAAGTAACAGTCCTGCTTTCATATCTTGAAGTAACACCCAAGCCATTAAGAACATCCAGAAAAAAAGAGTGTGTTGGGTTGATTGTAACAGAGCAGCTTAATCAAGCTGCAGTTGGGGAAAGCCCAGAGCTTGTACCACTCAATCACCCACCCCCACCCCCCATCTCGACATCCAAATTTGAGTCCTAGAAATCCACCAAAGGCAACGCAAAGCTTTTCAGGAGCAATGAGTATTTGAGAGAGAAGGGAGAGCTGCAGCAAAGAATCATTAAAGACCAGCAAGTATTTTCCTGCTCAACAATGACCCAGCAAACCGGGCAAGGTGGCTTTTGAACAAGTCTGAAGAGAAAATGCCAAAGTAAAAAGGAGATTACTAAAGGACCACAGCAAAGGCACCTTGGGCAGACTATTGTAGAAGGAAACAATACACATGAGCTTTAGTTTGGGATTCACAGAGAGCTGCCAGGACCAACAGCACTTGTGAGACCTGATCCTACCCATGTGGATGCCCAACACACCAGAGGAAGAATTAGGATGGATCAAGAAGAGACAGCGTGTCCCAGCTTTAAGATTAGACTCACTGTGATCTGGTTTCACAAAAGAAGACACAAACCCTCTGATTTTAAAACATTAGCCTTGTGCTACCGCAGCCCACCTAGCAAGAAAACCACTGGGTAGACGTGGAGATCTCCCAGCCACCTGGTGTCACAGAGCTTGGTCAACCCTGGCTTTTGGTCACTGAAGAAGTTTGGTGTGGACTCCAACAGTTGACAAGGAAAAGCTGAATCAACCACTTCACATCCATCCATTATCCCTTCTCTGGCTGCAGCTTTGACTTATTACCAATCTCCAAAGAAGCTGTGGCTGTGGAGAGCACCCCCAGCCTGTTCAGTCCCTCCTTATGACTGTGCTAGGAGTACCTGGCACACACTGCCTTTTGTCACCGCTGTGTGCTTAGTAAGCCTGGGACCTGCAGTGGCTGCAAGGCATACAAATGTCCAAAAAACCTGGCCACAGCCAGCCCAGCCTGCAATGCGACGCTTGCTCACCACCTTCCTGTCTCTGGAGCCGGCACGCTCAATATCCCTGGTCCAGCTTCACGGATTGCTGCACCACGATAGCACTGCCTGGCCTGGCTCCAGCCCTGGTTATCCCAGGCCTGAGGGAGGTACCACCACACAAACCATATCAGTAACACTAGGGATTTTATTACCTTGCTTGGTGGAAGCAAAACTCATAAAGAAGCTCCGTCTCTCACTTTCACCCTAGGGACGTAGCGGAGCACCCCTTTAACTTTGAGCACTCCCAGTCATCCTAACAAATCCATGGGGTCATCAAGGCTGCAAGAAGGGGCAGTATCATTGTATCATACTAATGTTTCTCTAAATCAAATCCTTAAACCTGGAGAAGGAAGAAAGCAATAGGTGGAGCTGGTAGCCAGCAGATCAGTGGAGTGGGACGAGAGTAAAATCACATTCAAATTCCTGCTTTTGTTTTACTACCAAATAGCCAGTAAACACAAAATTTCTTACCTCTTGATCTTGAAGATCCTCCGCAGCCACTTCCTCTCTGTGTTTGAGCCCTTTTAAGATGCACGTATTCCAAGGGAGAGAAAAGCAGCAAGCTGGTGCACTCAGTGTAGAGCTACTTTGGCCATGTGGCGCCTGCTAAATACACCACAGCCCACGGCGGCTGCCCTCAGAGAGAACACAGGTGCAGCAGGAGCAGCTAAGAGAGCTGGAGCATGCCAGGAAAACAGGGAATACAAAGGTCTCAAAACCACCAGCAGCTGCTGAAAGCCCAAATAACTTCAACGAGGCACCTGGGCACCCCTCTTCCCCTTGCAGTCTTTTCTTCTAAGGAACGCTGGAGCAGATGAGGTTGTATTTAACCTCCTTAGGTCATTTTAGCACTAATTCCTTATAATTACATTGTGTTGCATGTCACTCAACACCAGTCTGGAAAATAATTTCATTTTACTGAGAAAATATTCATCTTTTGATAAAAGATGCTAAAACCCCCAGGTGAACTCCTTTAGAAAGCCATTCTTTTCTAATCACAGAACAGCTAAGGTCAGGAGGAGCTTCTGGAGATCATCTAGTCCAACAGCCTCACTCACAGCAGGGTCAACTAGAGCAGATTGCCTGGGGCCTCGTCCAGTCAGGTTTTGAAGATCACCAAGGATGCAGACTCCTCAACCTCTGGGCAAGCTATACCAGTGTTCGACCATTCTCAGAGTGAAAAAAGCTTTTTCTTAGGTTTAAACAGAATTTCCTGTGTTTGAGCATGTGCCCATTGCCTTTTGTCCTGCCTCTGAGCACCACCGAGAAAAACCTGGCCCGATCCTCTTTGCTCTTCCCTACACACTGATAAGATCCCTCCCAAGTCCTCCTTTTACTCAGGCTGACAGTCCCAGGTCTCCCAGCCTTGTTGACAGACGCTGCAATCCTTTAATCATCTTAATAATTTTCGGTATGTTAAATAATTTCTTTTAAATTGGTTTGAAAATTTGCATAGTTCCTTTTCCAGTTGTTGGTGTGGTTAAAACAACCATCATCTTCATGACCTTTGCTGGATTGCTTGTTTGTTTTGTACTCTCTAGTTTGATTTTAATAGCTTCTGCCAGGCAGTCATCACCCTCAAGGAAACTATCAAGGCAGCAGGCTCTTCAGGGCAAGAACTTAATTTACAACTGAGGAACAACAACTACTGCTTAAGCAGACTGTTACCACGCTTGCATCTATTTGAGCTGGACCTGACTAGCACACAGGAGCTATGTAAAGCCAGATGTTTTAAAAGCACTAACTTCATAAAGGCTAAGTGGGCTGATGCTTTCCCTTTGGAGCATGTTTCTCCAGGTAGTAATATGGTTTTGTACAATTTATGGGCCTCTCAGCCCACTTCCTAGCTTGGGCAGTTGCCTTGCGTTGCACAGGGAACACGAGTCATCTGGATTCACCTCCCATTTAGAAATGAGGATGCATCCAGTTCTTTCGCGCCATTTGCCTGCATCTCGTCTGCTTGTCAAAGGAAAATTATTTTCCTGCATGTTTTCTCCAAAATTTGCTACAAAGTTCCCTGCAGCACAGCCCAGGCAGTCCTGGAACACCAGTAGTGGTGGAGACCTGTCACATTCTTGGTGTTACTTCGGAAGACACATAACACCTGGCTAAATGCCTTCATTTTCTGTAGCGCCCAGTATATAAAGATACCAGAACCACGTCATTTCAAGGCCAGTCTCACAGAGTTTCTGTTAATTGGCTTTCCTAGAAGAGTTAGAAGGAAGCACCTTTACTCAGCAGCTTCTGAGACAGCCTTTGCCCTTCTCTGCTCAGCGAGGGCTGTGACAAGAGCTTCCATCCAGCAACCAGAGCAGCTGGATCTGCCAAGGTGCTGCTGGGAGGTGGCAGTAGGTGAGGGGACAGCCCGACAGCTCAGGAGATTCCCCTGTGAGCATCAGTTAAAAGGCACCTGTGTCCACAAGGATTACAAATTGACGGATGAGATGGGGTACACCGATTTCAACACATCACCAGCTGAGCTGTGATTCTGGTCACAGGAGCAATCAAAGGCTCAATGCAATTTAGTTCTGGAAAATGCGCTTACAGGAAAAAAGATAAACCCTTCAAGTAGTTAAGGTCCCTTTCCTTTCCTAATTTTGTAGTAACTGTTGTGGTCCTAGCACTCTGCTTCACTTTGACAAACCCTAACCTTTTCTTAATGGAGATTTTTATCACACCCATATGGACTTGATTTTTTTTTCTTATGCTATATAAAGCTTCCAGGTTGTATTTTTATGGAACCGAAATATTTTACTTTTACAGAGCAATACAATTGTCAGCTGTCTTGTAACAGGAACAAATAATGAAATTAAGCAGTTTTAGAAAAGGAAATGCCTTTCTATAGAAGAGGAAATACTTTTCTCACTCAGCATCCAGTTGATGCTCTGACTCTCCCCAGCGGAAGTCCCATCAGGCAAATAACACAGCTCTGGACACAGCGTTCCCTTGGAGGGGATGTGTAGTGATAGGACAAGGGGCAATGGATTCAAATTGAAAGAGGGGAGATTTCGATTAGATATAAGGAAGAAATTTTTCACTCAGAGGGTGGTGAGGCAGTGGAACAGGTTGCCCAGAGAAGTTGTGGCTGCCCCATCCCTGGAAGTGTTCAAGGCCAGTTTGGATGAGGCTTTAGGCAACCTGGTGTAGTGGAGGATTTCTCTGCCCATGGCAGGGGGGTTGGAACTAGATGATGTTTAAGGTCCCTTCCAACCCAAACCATTCTATGATTCTATGTTGTTTCACTGCTTCGGAGCACACGCTTAGGCACAATTTGTTAAACCTGGATTAATGCTGATTTGCACCTGCTCCACCCTGTCCTGGATACACAGCTGTCCTACGTTGCACACGGTTCACTGGCATTTAAATACCATCTTTCCAACCCCACAACTTCAGGCAGGTCATTTCCCACCTGCCAGACATCCAAAATAACAGTCCCGAGTTTAATGGCAATATATTGCTAGGCTTAGTATACACCAAGAAAAAAACCCAGAAAGATTTACATGGATAAGGTGATTATTAATTCCACATCTGTAAATGCTGTATTGTGAAGGTCTCTACAGGGCAAGCGCATTGCTTTAGAGAGGAAAATATTATTGGTACGTGTTGTATTCGCTGCACAAATTGAACAAATGTGTAATTCAGAAAAATATCAGTAATCCTGCTGTATGGGCATTGAGAAAAATAACTTTACAGAAGTGCTTGGAGAAAAGCAAGAGCATTGAACAGGAGACTCCATCCAACATATCACAACCCAGTTCCAGCAATATATTTCTAGCTGGTATTCAAATGCAGGCGTGAAGGTGTACAGTCACCAACCACCAAAGGGTTTAAGTTGCAGAAATTTGCAACGCAGCGCAGTACTTCAGCTTTACTATTGATTCCAGTCACCACGCAGTCATCCTGCACCAGACAAACTAGAGGAACTTTTGGAATTCTGTTTCAAATGAGTAATGCTGTCTTGAAGAAAGATTACGGCTTTTTTTTTTTTAAAAAAAAAAAAGATAATTACGTTTTAAAGTGTTTCCCCAATGCGTGAAGAACAAAAGACCCATCAGCTGTTCAGAAAACAAAATTTCATTTATTGTAAAGTTCCTGAAACAGTACACACCTTATCAGAAGTACAACGAACTGGCACTATTTCTTTAAAACCCTCTTCCAGAAACAGCACCTGGAATATTCAGGAGAGACCTTAAGCCATGGAATAACTCAGTGCAAGGCCCACCTGCCTCCCTGTCCCCTGCCAGCACTCCAGTGGAGAATGGGCAGTTCATTTTTATTTGCATCTCCCACCTAACAGCTCTCAAGATCCACCTGGTAGATCACAAGCTGGAATTCACCCTTTTGCATTTAGGGACCCTCAATCAAATGAAAGGTGTAAGAAATGAGACATATCACAATGCAAATTCAGCTTTGGGAAAAAAAAAAAGGATTATTTTATAGAACTTTTAATTTAATGACTATAAAAATCTATAGCCTCTTGCTTAAAGAGGTGAACGTAGCGACAAGACAAGGCAAGGCTTTGCTTTCAACTAGATGTTTCCTGTTTATTCCAACAACTGCAGCGCAGGCGTAGGTCTGGACCCGCTCTGCCTGTAGACGCAACTCACACCTCTTGCATTGGAACCACAGAAGTAACAATTCTCCAGCAGTTCGTAAGAACATCTGCACTTCCATTCCTTCCAGCTTCCTGCACTCAAGCCAGCCACAGCCAGGCTCCCTGCGTTACAAAGGCAGCCAGCAGCCACTCGGTCCGGACAGAGGGGACTAAGAGAGAATGGCCCATGAGGTCCAAGGAGACGATTCCTTCTCCGAAACCATCCCCTTCCCCACAAACACTTTAAGGCATAAGCAGCTTTTTCAGATGAACCGCGTGTGTACACGCGGTCCTCTGTATTCATGGAGCTGCAGAAAACCAGCTCCTCTTCACAAGCCAGCGACTTGCTCCTACTCTTAACGTCTTACTTCACTAGTAACTAAGCCTCTCAAACACACTAACCTCAACAGCCCCTTTCTACAGCGTGGGGCAAGAATCTCTTCTCTTCAGCTTCACCCACACTTAGAGCGGAACAGAAATAGCTTCCAGTGTGTGGGACTGGCTGATAGCCCTGCAGTTTAAACGTTATAGAAAGTTTTTCCTATTATAGGGTCAATCTAAGATGCCTTGTTTATTATAACTTATGCTATTAAACTTTCACAACTTTATACAAATTCTTAATGATGTTAAAAAACACTGTACAAAACCACCTTAAGGCACAAAAAGTCAAAACAGAAATGCAGCCCGCTTGACGTCTCAAAGCAGCCAACTCAAAACTGGCCTTGTAATAAGCACGTAGTTCGTTTATACATGTTAAGCTTCACTGTCATACCTTAAAACCAGTAAATACAGGACAAAATATTTGCTGCTCAGCATTTACTCTTTTTCTTTAGTACCAACCCCCATCTGAGACATGATCTGTGGTTATAAATAGGAATCGAAACAGCTTATAGGTCCCTCAAATGATTTGCTTTGAGCAACCATGAGCTATTACGCATGTAAGTATGCTGATATAGCAACATAAATTTGTTTTCTAAGGGTGGGATGTGAACATGCTCCTACCTCAGTGCTTTGCTCAACTTTGTCAAAGTGAGGAAGTACAGATGTGAAAAAAGTCAAAATGGCAGTGATGGAAGTGGGATAAATTTTAATCTTGCAGAAATAAACGTCATACATTAATGTCCCTCCCCCCAAGACGATTTGTCTTGGGCAAATGACTGAACAGCAAGAAAAAGATGCCCACGAAGAGTCCTGTCTTGCTTAAAAACTCTGAAATAGATGAACATCGTAGGCAGGGGTCAGCAAACATGCAGTAATGCAGCTACCGTCCACCTCCAGAAATGCCCAGTTAACACAACTGCTCTGTTGGCTCAAAGATTCTTGAGTTCTACTCATGGCCAGCCAGAGCTATCCAAGCAAATCTTGCGTGGTAGCTTCTCGGTCTGTAGGTAACTGTCTACAGGAGGGGAAAACGAGCAATGACTGAGTTCTCTGCCTCTCTGCATGACAATATAAAACACATCCAAACTCCATTATTCAAGTACTATTGGATGTTTTCTTATATGAAGGCCTTCAAGGAGTGGGAAGGTGCCCTACCTACATCAATATTCAACATGTAATTCCATGAGGGAAGAAGTCTGATCGAATGGTTTAATTTTGGTGCAATTTTTCTGATGTGGCTTCAAGCGCAGGCAACCAGACCGCTGGCGATGAAGCCTTATGGAAAGACACTCATCGCCCCACTCAGTGTCACGTTGCTTCTTTTCCGTTTTCTTCTTCACCAGCGCTTTTTCTCCCACCCTTACAGCTTTGCTAAGCAGCTCAGCCCAGCACTGCTTCTGTACCTCTTGTGAGGAGGAGGAGGAATTTGTAACATTAGTACAGAGCGCTGAACTCCTGTTCACTTGAAAGAGTAAAAACATTCTCTGTACAGCTGAAATTAGGGAAGTCTGTAGCAACGTGGAAAAAAGGAAAAACTAGCTTAAGAGTTTCTATTCATTGTTTTACAGCAAGAAAACTTTTGTCAGGGTTTATTATAAAGGAACAGCATAAGGAAACCAAATAAATAGTTGAATAGTTAACAGTATGCAATATAATAGCACTAAACTTCAATTACATAAAAATTAAACTTTGGAACAGCATCGATATGAAAGATTTCTTAGAAAACTTAGGACTCAGTCCAAGATCCTCAGACCTGTACACTGCAAAAACCAGTCAATTTTCATGCCCAGTTAGTCCCAGCTTTGTCCTCTGAGGGACTGTGTCCATTGAAAACTATGACCCATCCATGTAGCTCCCTAACCCCACTCTGCCCCATCATACACAGGCTGTTTTTCCAAGTATCTAAGGGAGAGTGATGGGGAAGCACGAGGTATGAGTTGTGCTTCATTGTTTCAGAGGAAGCAGTATCTCCTTCCTCATCTGATAGCTATATTGAACAAGGTTATGCAATTTAGCCTAAGGATGCTTCTTTCTTCCTTACAGCAGCAGTTAGAGGAACAGAAAGAAGGCAGCAATGACCTCATGCTCCCAGTAAAACCCCAGCTGGGTTTTGGGGGTGGTGGAGGGGGTGGGCAGGGGGGTGTGTGTGTGGAATCGAAGGCTGATTTATCGTTAGTTGCACAAACTGTCTGATCTAACACGGTGAAGTCAGTGGAGAGAACTTAGAGCTACATCAGACCCTCTGTCATTTTCTTTTTTCCACTCATCAAGACTCTGCAGTCACACTGAACTGGATCCCATTAGCACGTCTCACCCAACACAGGAAGGGAAGGGAGTGATCTCTGCTGGCTCTCAGGAGGGACTGGCTTCAGCCAATTCAACACCCTCTGGAGCGGGATCTTACTGCGCTCCCAAATAAAGAAGCAATAAAAACCACTGTGATCTGGAATTGTTCATGGATACAGATTTCTCCACCTGTGCAACACGTGCATCTCTTGCTAGGGAAGCGCAGCTCACTTTGGCTACACACCGGGTGAGTCTGGGGCTTTGACTTGACGTAAACTTAAAGAAATATATACACACTACAGCTTTGAAATCTGTACATCGAACCAGTCTCATCCAATTCTCCTCCCATGCAATTTTTAGATCAGTAGATAGTTCCACTGAAGTCAGAAGTGCTAAAAGGTGTTTGAGGAAAACCCAGCATTACATATTTGCATTAAATGCCAAAACTTATCCTAAAATACTTCTCTTGACATCTGTCACTGAAACACTTCCAATGTCAACTTCTCCAGAACACTGGAACAATTAACAAAAACTCTGCTATAAAGCAACAACAACAAAAAAGAAATAAAAATTACAAACAAAAATAAGCTTTTATCTTTGTTAAACTCCCATCAGCCACTTGAAATCTTGTTTATCTGTTCCATGAAATTAAAAACTTGGCACATTTTCCTTGGATGCCACTTATCGACATTTTCTTTTATCTAGAACATTTATTGCATATCAGAAATTCACTTGGCTAGGATACTTTTGTTTAGTAGAAAACACTGCCTTCCAGTTATGGCTATGACACTCCACACAGTTCAGTAAATGAATTCTCCTGGTATTTCTTGCAGCAATGGTTCCTCAAATTTAAATCGTTTGGAAATGGCTTTCTGCTCAGTTACTTTTTCTTTTTCTGACTGCCTGCATTGTCCCACTGTATATGAAGCCACTACAATTAGTTCTTCTGTCACTATTGATTCTTCCTCTTCAGTCTTCTCAGCATCTACTGACTTTTCAGAGGCAGAATCTCCATCTTTCTGGGTGACATCACTGGTCTCCCCTCCTGTACTCTTATTCCAGGCCCGGCAAGCAGGATTATCACTTTGTTGTAACCATGGGTGTTGAAGACATTCTTCAGCAGTTGCCCGGTCCCTGCAGTGGAAGGAAAGTGTTAAAATAAATGTCCAAATGAATTTGAAATCCAGCACTTTGCAGAAGAGATTCATACAAATCATTCCAAGGATATGACTGTAATAAAGACAGACTGATAGAACGTCTGAAAAAAGTGCCAATAGCTGCCTTTTACTAAAAGAGACCAACAGCAGCCCAAGGAGATGAACTGCTAATATTTAAAATAAAGGAATTCATAGATCCTTAAATATCACAGTTTACACTCCCGTATTTCCAACCAACTTGCAAAGTTTATACAGATTTTTTTTTTTTAATATAGGAAAATTATCCAATCCTTACATTCTTAAAGTATTCCCATAGACAAGCTGTAGGCAATTTCAATAGTTAACATGCCCCATGAAGAACTGAAGTTCCACAGAAAACCCCTCTTCTGTTTTGAGACGTGGAATTTCCAGTTGGCTGCCCATTGAGAAAAGCATGCTAATGAACCAGAAAAGAATAAGGTACTCCAGCAACTCCTCAAGAACAGGAGGCTCAAAGCACAGTTCATTCAAAAAAGGACATCAGCAAGGCACCTGCAAAGAAATTCAGTATACTGTACCGCATGCTGCAATTCATATACAGTTTTCTGAATTTAATTTGAGTTTTAATTACTAACACTTGGACACGTTCAGAATATGCAAGTTTGGAGGGAAATGCAGAACTTATCTTTTCATATACATGAAAAGTAACAGCACAATGAAATAGGAATAATCAAAGTTCCCTTTACTTTAGAAATGAAAATGCCAGCACTTGCTAAATTTAAAAAATCCAGTCAGACACACTAGTGTACACACTTGTGGATTTTACTTACTCGGGTTTCTTAACCAGCAGAGTTTTGATGAAATCCACGGCAGACTCTGATATGAGGTCAAAGTCTTCTCCAGAGTAACTTATGTTCATTTGGGATATATTTAAGAATGTTTCCTGTTTATCATCCCCTAAGAAAGGCGATATCCCTGTTAGCATAACATATGCCAGTACTCCAATGCTCCTAAATTAAAAATAAAAAAACAGAAAGCAGGCTTTTAGGGTTGGTGGTGGGTGGGTTTTTTTTTTTTTAAAGCAAACATCTTTTCCGTAAAGTTATGATGGCCATTAAATTGGTCAACTTACCACATATCAGTTGCTGTACTGATCGGGTCATAACTTAGAATTTCAGGAGCTATTCAGGAGGGAAAAAAAACAGTTCCGTTTTTTTGTTATATGCAGATATTATTGTAGTTATATAGTGCAATAACAGGCATGTGGTAAAACTTAATATAAGCCATAGAAATATGAGAGTTTTGTGAAATAGAGATATTTCTATTCAAGTTATTTAAGTGATTACTGTCCCTCATTGTTTTTAAGTAAAATCCATTGTTTTCTTTTTATTGTTCTCTTCAGATGCCAGGTCAGTCTCCTTCCCAATTAAGGAAGCTGTATATGAATTTCTTACATGAAAATGAGAAATATCAAACATTCCATATTCCAGCACTGAAACCCATACCCTTAAAGATATACTATAGAACTGAAAGATATTTTCAAGGCAGAGAATGATTTGCTTTGAAAGAAACCAAAATAGATACAAACCTCCACGAGCTATCATACTGCATTCAGAGACTGAATATGTGATTCTGAACTTTTAATCCCAGTGATACTTGTTATCACTGCTAGTAAGAACCACCTAAAGCGTGTGTCCATCTTCAACACAAGTACACAATTATGACTCATTAGACTGGCAAGGCTTGCCAGTTGTAGCTTCTGCAGCAGTACCACATCCAAGTAATAACCTGCCCTTTCGACACAGTGATTACACAGCCAGCCTGGCATTCACCAAATTGAGGCAGTTTCTCTTTTCACTCCCCGAAGCCTGGGCTGTTCCCTCCTCAGGGCTACATCTCTCATATACTAACAACTTACCTACGTATTCTGGAGTTCCCATAATTTCTCTTAGTTCCTCACTGCTCTTCATTATTCTGGAAAGGCCAAAATCTACTATCTTAATGTCTCCCAGAGGAGACTTACTGGTTAGTAGAATATTTTGGGGCTGAAAAACAAAAGGAGGAGACTTTCAGGATCACCCAAACCTAATGTCTGTGACACCATATTGCATAATTATTTCAGAGCATGAGTAGTCATAACACATTCCATAACAACTACGATTCCCAGGATCATTTATTTATTTATTTTTGGTTGCTCCCCACCCCCTCCCCAAGGTGAACTTGAAGAGACACGTAGGCTAAAAGGAGTGGCAGGATTTTCTGTTTATAACTGAGAATCAAACATCTACCTTTATTAGCTTAGAACACATGCCAAAGACACGCCGGTAGCTATCATTTCACAATAGCATATAAATACTTCCACATTTGTGCCTTTAGTCCTTCATATCACCTTTTTAACTCCCCTTTCATCCTTGCTTCCCTTCAGCAGATGGTGTAAAATATCTCCTGTTGAAGGGTGTCCAAAACACCAAATCATTTTAAAAGACCTGAACAAATAAAACTATTTTGACTACACCTGTTTAAAGAAAGTCTGTTGCAATCAACCTCAATCTTGTTCAAAGTACAAACAATTGTATTACAGAATGCTAACTGAAGAACAGTTTAAAAAAAAACAAAACATACCAGCCTGAAAAACAGGTTTTTAAGAGCATCACCTTTGGATAAACTTGTTTGCTCTGACGTCACTAGATCTCGGCTGTCATCCTTCAAAGCAACTTTGTGGTCATTAAGAAGTTCCTTACCGTCTATTTTAAATGCTAGCTCAGTTTAAAAAATAAAAAAAACTGAAAACCAACTTTAGGCAACAAGACTTAGAGATTTTTGGCAACTAAAGTATAGCCTTGCCAAAAAAAAAGGTGTGACCCTCCCTGCTCCCAGGCCAAAGGTCACAGTGGGTTCTAATATTAACTTCTCTGAAAGGTAACACTGACAGTCGATGCTATGTTGGTGTCTCCAGTGAGCACAAGTTCCATGAAAATGATGAAGCCTTTATTTATTGAGAGTCTGGATCGTCTTGCATCGAGGTGGTTGAAAAGAGAGGAGAGCAAAGGGTAAGCACACCAAAGCAACCACTGACTGATAATCCAACTGGATTAACACCAACTTTTTCCCTAATCGCTGAGCCATTCTTTGTTCATCCCCTAGTCAATCATGAAGGCATGCTTCCACAGGAACAGCCTTGCTTTTGAACACAGAACCAAAGCTGGGCAAGAACATTTTTGAAACCTTGGGCCAGTTCTCCTTGCTGCAAGACCTAAATATAGTCAAGTTCTTTCATTCCTGCAAAGTTAAACCATGGTATTTCAAACTAGCTCCAATTTATTTCCTGTTTGTAAATCTATGCATCAAGAGCAGCTTTTCTTTTTTTTTTTTGCTTACAAACTGGGATCTGGTGGCTATACAAAGGCTTTTGGAGCTGTGCATTACCATATGCTTTACAGTTCACATTTGTTATTCTCTATTTGTATTACAAAATCAAACATCCAAAAAAGCTGACCATGCCTCCCTAATTAGCCACTCAGAAGTTCTTCCCAGTGGGAAGTGTAGTTACTTTCTGAAGAGGCAAATAGAAAGCATGAGAAAAGCATTTGTTCTCTATATTTAAACAAGGAAAAGTTTTTAATGGAAACATTTCATGAAACCCTTAAACTCTGTAATCTAACACATTAGTAGATAATGCAGTTGCCAGAAGTTGTTGATTGTCTTTTTTAAAAACAATCTTTTTACTCAAAACACACCTATGCAGAAAAAAACCACCTGTCTACAGTACAAATGGAGTCATAATCTTAAGTCAATTCTTTCTAAAATATCAGTCGTTTTCTTCTTTTAAGGAATTATTATGGGGTTCAAGTGAAGCGACAGTCCAAACATCAGCATGAAACCTTAAAGAAGGTGTAGCTTTGAACTTACCACCGTTTTCAGCTCGACACAGTTACTCTAAAGCTTTAAGAAAAGGAAGATAACTTTCCTGAATCTATAAAGTTATTTCTCTTTTGTTTTTCCACTGCTATGATACATGTAAGTTTTCCTAATGCTGCTTAGTCCACAAAGGCAAGAGATGCAGGCTAGAGGCTCTCCATTCACTTTCATCATCAAGCAGTAATGAAATGGCTAATGAAAACTGTCAAATGGCAACATTTGAAAACCTCCCCCTCTACTGCAGGAAGGCTTAAAGGTTCCAATTTAGATCCTCTTATGTTGTGCACTGAACAGAAACATAAAAAGAAAAAATCCTTGGCTAAATGCAGAATCTGAATGGAAGTGCTTTACTACGAGATTGGTACGTGCACAGACACCGCACAAGTCTAAGCCAAGGTCACACTGGCATGGCCGGAAACAGGTACCTCTGGAAAGATTATAAAAACAAGAAAAAAAAAAAGTTGTATTTTTCTGGGCATACTGTCAGCAATCAGCAACTTGAGCTTTAGGAATTTGAGATGTTGGTTATACCTGTATCATCATGTTGGAGTAACAGCAGTGAAAAGCATCATTTGTCAATGCAAATATCAGCCAGTTTTACATTTTTCACTTAAATTGGATGAAACTACTGTCACATAAAAAGAGCAGGGCTTTCATGACACTGAACATCAGTGCAAAGGCCAAAGTAATGCCATGTATACAAAAATGTGTTCTCATCTAGAAACTTATTCTACAAATCACAAGAATAGTTTGTATTAAGTGTACTTAGTAAAATGGGATACTCTTCAACCCTACCTTGCCAGCAGGTTTTGGAATCTTGTAAACTGACTATATAATGGCAAAACCGTATATTGCAAATTTCCCATTATTCCACAAGTTTCTATGAACCTTTGGCCCTTCTTTCTGATATTGGCAAACACCTTGCTTACCAGCAGTACACTTTGCACAAGTTCTTCCAAATGTTACCCCCCAAAACTAAGTATTTGGTAAACTCCATAGTTCTGTAAGCCACTAGTTAAAGCAGCATAAGACAGATTATCCAACAGAAGATGGTTTGAGGCCAGAGGGTTAATAAACATTAAACATAAAACCAGCACTCAACTTCGCTTTTTGAGTGACTTGAAAAATTAGCCTTTTTTAAAAGTCTTGCAAGGCATGTGGGTCAATCAATCTTCACAAGTCATATTTTTTTAAATCCTATAGTTTCCATCAGCTTTATTGGCCAATGTTCTGAAGACTTCCCTAAACTTTGTTTTGCAAAAGGCCAAGAGTCTCATGTATCATGAAAGTAATCACACTGCGATTAAGATTCCTATTAAGACCCACTTTTCAAAAACATGTTGCACACTGCATTATTAACATATGAACATATTAAACACTAGATGATTTGCTCTGCTAATTGAGTTTTATAAAGCCAGCAAAGCAGTGCTGGGTCTTTCAGTGAGAACTGGAGATGCTCAATTTTACAACGTAAGTTTTCTAATCAGTTGGAAAGACTTTTTAAGTAAGCTTTTTCTGAACTTGGAAAGAGCTACCTGTCCGCGAGCCGTAACCAACCTCCGAGTCTACATTTTTAAGAAAAGTACTGTAGTCAAATAAAGCACAACTCATTTCTGGTTACAGATACCCAGCTGACAGTGCTCAGGAAAACCACAGGTTTAACTACAAACATGTATGAATATATCCTGTCCATAAAAGATGTTTTAATTTTACACAGGTTGCTTCAAGGTAATTCAATAGAAATATCTTCAGCCACTACTAAGTATCTTGTGTAAGCATACTGGAACTTTATTGGAATTTAGTCCTTCTGAACACTTATTCTGATATCACTTGCTAAGTTTCCATTAATTATTTTAGTACAACTATGAATATTCTATGTGTATGACTAAATCAATGGGCTACAGAAAGTTTCAAAGGATTCCAGAGATAATTTGAATAAATGGCTGGAAAACCACGCAGGTGAGATATTTGTGTGCCAACATCACTCATCATCTGCTTTAGCTGATGAACAGTGCATGATGTGCTAGGTTATATATTAAGTATGTATAGCTTGATACTGGAATCGACTGGTAGCTCTGTACTACTAACAAAATGCAATTAAGTTTAAGTAAGGATCTCAGCAATAGAACAGAAAAAATATGTAGCAGCTTACTACATACCAAATTGTAAATAGGGGAACTGGACATGCAAAAAGAATTTGAAAATTTTAATGCAAGATACTTTTTATACTGCCTTGCTTACTATTAATAAAGTAATTCAACATCAAAATGAGATAAAATTGCATCTTCCCTATCAGTGTATAGATAGAAGCTAAAGAAAATTGCAGCTTGCTATCAATGGGAGAGAAGTTTTCTGGATCTCTGTTACAACTCCCTTCTTTAACATAAGCAATACTCTGGATCTTATGATGGCAACTGTACTTTTCTTTTGATTTGGGTCAAAACTAGTTTTCAGTAAGAAAAAATATTTACTCCAGTCAATCACAATAACTGGTATATCGATAGGGTGTTGGCCAACTGTTTGGCAGTAAATGACAAACATTTAAACTAAGTTTTACAGTAATTAAAAAAACCCAAACATACTGAAGTGTTATAAATATATCTAACCCATTAATATACTGTTTACCAGTCCTGTATGAACACTTCATTCTGAAACATTACACTTTATACTACCAGTGTCTTTGCCATCCTCCTCCTTCATTAAAACTCAAGTAAATGCAAAATAAACAAACCTACTTTTCAATGGTCACTCAATCAAATGAAGTTTATATTTGACATAATCATGGAAACATGCCAAAAGGCTTGCAACCCTAGTACTGGCTCCATCCCAAAGGTTAAATTTTATTGTTTGAGGAATAATTAGATAAAAATTGTGTTAATTACAAATGAGCATTGGCATGATATATGACCAATAAGGAGGGTTAGGAAACTCATGAAAAAAAACCACAGCAATCTTACCTTTAAGTCAAGATGAACCACATTGTTTCTGTGCAAGAATGAAACGCCTTCTAAGATCTGCTTCATAAGTCGTTTAACATCTTTTTCTTTGAAGGCTTCCTCTCTTTCAGCCACACACTGGTCAAAGATTTCACCTCCAGCAGCACTATGGAACAATATGAATTTTATTATTTCAAAGACTAAGTTATAGCACCCATTTCGTTCTACCCACTCTATTTTATTTAGCAAGATCAGCGTGTGGCAGCATCCAGTGGTGATATTTTCAGTTATTAAACATTTGGCAAGCTTTTACAGCCTAGGAAGGCTTCTCTGTAGTATGGCAGCTTTGGAGAGAAGCAAAGATCTCAGTCAGTTAGGTTAGAGAATATGAATATTACAGAAACTTTTAGGACTATTTTAGACTATTACTGACTATGCTTTAAGATGAATGCCACATTATTTGAAGGCAATGTTTACTTAAGAGATGTGCCTTTTGCCATTCCTACAAAACTACATGGAAATTTGACCAAGGTAAGCCCTTGTAAACACAAAGCAAAACAGCCTCACCCCAATCCTTCTCAAAACACATTGCACACACTCAAAAGACTAAATGTAAAGTTTATCATTGAATTGCTTGAGAAGTCTCTAGTAAACAGGGATGCATTAAGTTTCTAAAGGGCTTTCATCTAAAAATAATTTTGAAAATTTTAGCTCTCAGCTTGCTTCCTTATCTTTTGTTTATCAATGTTTAAATAAATAACAAAGTAACAAAAAAATATAAAAATAACTACAGATGAATGAATGTTTTTAAAGTACTCTGAAGCCACATGCAGAACCATCTCTGTATAGCTGTGACCCTAGAGAACTAAAATTGTTTTACAACATAACCAGGTAGCATCAAAAGTAAAATAAGCAGAGGCTCCATCTTAAAACAAGAACGGGCATAAGAACATTAGAATGGGTCCATTTTGCATATGGATTGCTGAATTACTACTTAGCCAGGTATAAATGAAATCAACACATGCATGCTTTGTTCTGTATGAAATTCTCTAATCACCCCTTACTGAAAGATGGTGAAACCCCCCAAGGACAGTATCTTATCCAGTTACTCCAAACTATGGCATGACAAACCTGACTTTATGTAAGCTTTAATCTTCATTGATGCACAGCCATCTATTCTGCCTTTGCTTGCTCTTTTCTAATAAACTATATTGCCTACACAATCCAGAAGACATTCAACAAGGATGTAACAAAATATGAGTCCTACCAAAACAGTGCACTTGTATTATGTACCCCCAGAACAACACAAATATACTCAATTTTTCATTTTGTCAATACTAACTTTCCTGCTACAGTCCTAGTACCTTAAAACACCTCATGGTTTATAAAAACTTTTTGCCTTCCTAGATATTCTCATTACCATTATTTAAAATTCTCCCTGTGGGTCATCTTACAAGCAAAAAGAATTTAAAAGAGGGTTATGTCTTAACTTTTTCTAAAGAGTTTTACATTTCTGTTCTATATGCTGGCATACTGATACAGAAGTACAATTTCATTTATTAAACTAAGATTTTCTTTTAAAAAAGAAAGCTACATTAAATAATTATTTTTCTTCATCCTATATCAAAGATGATAGAAGTCAAGAATAAAATGAATTTTCATCAACGGAATGTTAACACTAATTCCTCTACAAAAACTGCATATGCCTCGCAATATCACATCTTTCTTCGGCACATTTTTATTTAATTCAAGGAAAAAGTTAATAATATTTCAGGTTTGAACAGAATTCAGGTATTAATGACATTTTAAAAATTGACACTAGATAGTGTATTCCAATATTTTCGAACAAATTCTTTAAAAAGCAACATCAATTGGATCTTCAAGATAAGGATAAAAAAAGCGTCTTCTCTATCAATAAATCAAACTTTCTACTTCAAGAACACCATAATATGTTACTTGGAAGAATGATTTTATTGCTTGTAGCAATAAATTATAATGCATATACAGTGATAAGATCTACTATTAAAATTACTAACATGACATGTTTTACAGCAGCAACCCCGGGATTTTGCTGGTATAGCTCTGCCACTTAAAATAAGCAAAACAATACTTCTGCTAATTAATTCTATGTAAAAAGGATTTATACCTTAAAACTGTTGTCAACAAGGGATTGTATTTCATTTTTAACAGACCCAGCTAAAAAAAAAACAGCAACAGGAAGGGCCTTATAAAGCCCTATTTACTACATGTCTATTTGGTAGACATCCGTCACAGCTAAGTAAGGCTAAAAAACAAATTAAGACTGAAGTGGGCACCAAGCTAAAGTGTAAACTTCCTAGAATTTTAATACTGCACTTAAAGTTTCACACTGAAAGGTGGTTTCACATGCAATGTTTCATTTTTCAATCAACTTTGCTGTTTAAGATGCAGATGGAACAACTTTTCCCAGACAATTCTTTCTACGAAAAAATGATTCAAACAAGTAACCAGTGACCCTTTAACCAGAACACAGGGAAATTTGTTACTGCAAGACTGTTCCGTGCATTGCTGCTGCAGAATGAGCTTAATTGACTCCCCTAAGCACAACAGTCAGCTAGCTGTGAGCCAGCCCAGTCACAAGTGGTTGGAAGTACAATGTTGAAATGAACTCCAAAAAGACTCTCCCGCACATCGATGCCAAATTCTGCCAAGCTCCTTAACAATACTTTTCAACTCAGTTGTTTTGTATTCCCTAGCTTGAGTTCAGGGAAAAAAAAATAAAATTAATCAAAACACAGAAGGAATTAAAATACCTGCTAGGAAAGTATTGTGGGTATGCCATTGCTATGATTTCTGTAAACACACAGACCAGGAGTTCTCTAATGTTTATAACATTTACCCACTTTTTCTCTAAGAACACATTTTCCATTAAGCTGTAGCTTTTCCAACGGTCATTATGAAATAACAACTTTGTAAACTGGGCACCCCCACCCACCTCCACGGAAAATGTTCTTAGGGGATAAAACCAAAGAACTGTCCTTATGCCAAGAAAGTCTTTAGGAAAACAAGGCACCTTAATCTGATAAAAAAATGGATAAGGAAATATTTAAGAGCACAATGTTCTGAAATCCAGTGTTTCTCAGAATGCGTTATTTCTTGAGTACGCACTCCCTTAGCTAGGTGTACAAAAAACTGAGACATAAGAATTCTTTCCAAACTTAAAAGCTACTGCAATCAGAATTCTTCAGCTACTTTAATTTGTTTATTAAAGTACTGTTGTGCTATAACTTCTCTAGAGTTTCATGTGAAATCCAACTGCTCTTCATCAATGAAATGCATGCTAACATTTTATTACTGCTTATCAGCATAAATGAGCTAACAGTAATTTGGAAGTCTGGAGCATTAATCTTGGTTACAATTATGTTGACTTTAAATTCAACGGAGACTGCTTATCTTCCTTCAAACATATCTGAACAACGCACTGTATGGAATTCTGCATCCTAGTTCTTCCAAGTGCACTTACGATACACTACCACAGTCATTTAGCGAATCACTAGAAAAAGATTGAACAAATCTATTTCAGTGCATCTGAAAAAACTAAACATTCCCCCAGCTTTAATGGATCAGACGTTAAGACAACCTTCAAAAAGGCTCAGAAGTACAAACCTCAGAGTACAGACATGTAGAAAACAAGTTCCTAGAATATACTTGATTTCAAATGCTGAGTGAGACCACATACAGTCTGCGAGGGTCAAAAATTTACTCCCTGAATCTTACGCCCTGCCAAAAGCCTTTCTTGAAAGGGTTATCTTTGGAAGATAAATGGAAACTCACCCACTTCCTGTACACAGAGCTTACGTTACAAGAAGATCACACCAAGGTGATTGCCAACACTCTCAGCAAAGGTTCACGTTCACGACTGCTGACAGTCATCACTACTGCTGGCAGTCATCCCCTCCTTTCTTTAGCTAGGCATACCATTGCATAGTAAGCAACTTAATTTACTGAGAATTTTTCCAGTGTAAGGCTACCATAACATACCAGTGTCCCCAAAGCCCAAGAAAACTGTAAATCTGTATCTGATGAAAGGACATATGGGAAGAGAAGCATCCAAACACATTAATGCAGATACTGTTCTTTTAAGTCCTTGGTTCTCAGACAAATGCATCTTTTTTTTTTTCCCCCTTAACCTTTCCAATGAGGCAGCCCAAGAACTGAAACACAAACAAAAGGTAACTATCACCATTTGAGAAGTTTTCCCTTAAAACTTTCTGAAGAGCTCCAGTCTTGATTTGAGACTGCCATCTAGAACAATCTTGTTAATTGTTCTAATGGACATGATGCAAACATTGCAGCAGCAGTTATTTGATTGCAGTGGTTTTGCTTCAGGTTCTATCTGTTGAATCCTATGCCACATGAATCATTTCCTGATAGTAGACTTTAACCAGTCACACCTCTAGTAAGTAGGACAACAAGTAACGTTCAAGACAATACAAGTAGTAACGTTATCCAAGCCCAAATAACTACAGGTGAAAAAAGCACTTCATCCAGCATATCAAATAAACCCTCACCATGTCTTCAAGACAATAAAGACAACTTTTTTCTTTTTTAAAGTAAGCATAACAAAAGTCTACTACATCTACACAAGACCCTGGCAGGTAATTACTCAGTTCAGAAGCTTTTCACACAAAAACACTTAATGGCTTAGATTCTGCAGTTACACATACAGGTTTCTGTAATATCCAAGCCACTAATGACCCACTAATATAATCTATTCCTTCCATAGATACATAAACATATGATGATGAACACTTAGAAAAAATGCCAGTTCTTAAGCATCAGATGCTCTTTCAAAATAAACTGGAAAAAGCCAGGTAGGTTGCACGCAAATATTGAGCCCAAATGCTATTAAATTTGCTTTTTCCCTTTTATATCTGATGTGTCAGGTTTCCCAGACTGTATCTCTACCTTTTCCAGTAAAAGTCCAGTTTTCTTTTTCATTAATTCCATTTTTCCCCTGTAATATAGAAACATGACTGACCAGCAGATTAATTCCTGACTTTTTACGTACTACCCCTTCAGACTTACTTACCTCTTCAAATCCTACTTAAATTCCCTGTTTGAATTCTTGTGCCAAGAAACAGAAGTCAGAGACTGTTATCAGGGTGGATGCAGGCAGCTACCAATTTACCACCCTACAACTGAAGCCAACACTGTAATGCCTCATTGCTTCCCGTTGCTCAGCACGTAATATTAACAGTTAGTGACCAATTTTAAGTTTGTGTTCTGTCCCTCCATGTAACAGCAATATTTCTCTTCATGAAAGCAAAGCAGTAGGTGTCCCCCTCAACCCTTATGACAGATTGAACATCAAGACAAGAAACTTTAATACCTTAGCAGATAAAGTTAGTGGCCAACAATTAAATATTTGTTTTTCTCCTTCCCAAGATAAAGATCTGCCACACAGACCATCAAGCTCAAACTGAAATGCCCAAGAGAAGCTTGCTGTCTAGATACGTTCTTTAATCCTCTGCATACAGAATGTCAGAAATTTACTAACGTTCATACCTGTTTTGTTGCAACACGCCTCTGGAACATGCTGACATTAAAGAAGCATCCAGACATATTTGCTGAAGTCAGGGAAAGACTGTTTTTGTAATTTACAACTCTTAACACCCAGCTATTTATCTGAAACAAGGTATGACTGATGCATATAAAACGAATCATGTTGCTAATTACTGAACAACCTGGTGACTACCGAACAACCTAGTTAACACCTTGCATTAAAAACGTTTTGCAACTGTAAGAGAATAGAGTTCTAAAAGAAAACTAGCAATTCTGTTTTAAAATTATCACAAAACCCATCGCTCATATCAAGCTTTGGATTCTCCCACTTGTGTTATATGCCTACGGGATCCACAAATTTAAACTGTATTTTAGGTAGATCAGTGCTACTAGGGTTTCAAGCACGTATTTTTGAGTCTCTGATAACTGCAGTTAAAACTCCAGAAGCGCTGTTACACTTTTGCATTATAGCAGAGACTTGAATATTTAATAAATTATGAATTCCATTAGGGCATAAAGAAGTTGAAAAAAATCATATTCTAGAGGGAAGTTTGCCTTAGCAGACACTGTGATTCCATTTCACTGAACTTCAAAGACACAGTTTCTTTTCACTTCGAAAGATGATCAGATCAGGACATGACATTTCTCAACAGTTCATTTTGTTATCAAGCAAGAAAAGAGCTGTACAATCTAGATTTATCTTAGCAGACAGGTTAAGTCAATTCTGAACTATTGAGCCTCACTGTTCCACTCCTAATTATGTAAAATCCATAGAGCTTGAACAGGATCTTAAGAGAATTCAATAGCAACAAGCACTTGGCTGCCTCTTGGAACCTCGATGTTAAATATCTAAGCCATTGGCATATTACAGGAACAGTCAACAGCTGCAGAAACACCCATCTGGACAAACCCCACGGGGAAAAAAAACACACAACAGATAAATGTAGAGTCACAAGTTAAACATGATTTGAAAAACTATTCTAGGTCTGAATCCTTGTACTCCTTTTCTTCCCCCAAAAGATAATGATTTAGAGAGCTTTTCGTTGTAGATCACAGGAGGTTTTGACAGCTTTTTTTTTAACAATGATGTCATTTTCAATACTTTTTTCATAACTGGTAAAAAAACCCAAACAGGTTTTACCCTGTCTTTGCCACTGTCAATAAAATAAACTTCAGTTTTTGAACAGATACTCATTGCTTCTTTCCTCTTCCTCTTTTACAAGTAGGGAGTGTACACAGTTCATATTTCACTAAAGATTTCGACTACATAAATTACAGTTTTTAAAAAGCTTTTTATAAAGCTTTGAGAGATACTACATAACTGGAAAAGTTTATTATAATCTGCAGTAGTTACAAGACTGCACATAACTTCTTGTAATACTGATTTTCCTAGCAATTCTTTTTGAACTCAAGCAAACGTAACAAGGCCAGCAATAAAATCTTTTCACATTATTCACATTGACACACAGTATTTTTTACATTATTAGTTTTATGCACGTACTGCAGAAGGTTATTCAGGAATTATTACTAATACTTACTATTCCAGGACTAAAATCATCTCTGTTGCAGTTTCATAAACTTCATGCAAGTTAATGACCCAAAGGTTGCATTGTGCCAACTCAAGGACTGCAATTTCATGGATTATTTCCATCCGACAATCTTGACCCTTTCTTCTTTTTCTCATGAATTTTGCTGCAAACTCTCTTTCAGTGTCTTTCTGGATACACTTCTTCACCACTGCAAATTTTCCTCTGAAATGAAAGAATAGCTTTAAGTTCCTTAGTGACAACATTAGTATAGCACTTACAAATTAACAATACAGGAAACTTGAACTAAATCGCTATTAATGAATACATTTAAAACGTGTTCTAAATTTAGAAAGATGCCTTGTCAAGTGATAATCCCTACACTTAAGTTAGGAACATCACAAGCCAGAATATTACTTAACATCCATTAAAAATAAGGACTTAAAACTTATCGATTCAAGGAACATGGATTTCAAAAATACACAATAAACAGGCTGTGCTAGTTGGCAAGATGAAGGTATCCTCAAACCTTTCATTAAAAAAACTAGCAGAAACCAAAGTGTACAAACAGGCAATTTACGCTTTCTGTGACTACGTCACAACAACCTAAGTAATTGCCCAGCTATTGTTTTCTAAAGTATTCCAGCATATTCAAGGCAACAGCAACCAGCGCTCTTATTGAAGAACTGCTCAAAATCCTGCTCCGTTTGCCATGCAACACCCAGACTCTGCTCTGCATTTTCAAAGACAGCACTTTGTATTTTCACCATAATATGTCTCAAATGATAACAGCCAGAGTTTTTGATTGTTTAACAGTTCTCAAAATCCCTTATTCTTCGTTTCACTGTATAAGCAAGGAACAGGGATCACTTCAAAAAAATTAAGCAGCTTGACCTACGTAAAGCTTATAGCAAAATTTTTGGGACAACAATAATGTGAATACAAACACACACCGAGCGGAACTGAGCATAGTGCTTAACCCACAGTAATGAGCGTCACTTCTGACAAAACACAACCGATGGGTTACACCAAGCCAGCAGGCCAGCTAAAACCACACTGCAGCACTTACGTCAGAAGACTTCGCCCACAGCATTTTGGACTGAAATATCTGCTCTAAACTTCCTTGCAATAGAGTCCCAGGCCACCTGCTCCACTCTGCTCTTTCACACAGTACGGATTTTTAGACTGAAAAGGTCAATTAATATCTGTCATCTACTGCAATGATGAATTCTCACACTTGGAAGTATAGTAACCTTTTTTTTTAGTTCTTACCATGCAGGTATAGTGTTCATCAAAACTGTCTTTTTTATTCATATGTAAAAGTTTTCTTATGAAGCTGCAGAAACAGCTTGGAGATCTTTATTTTGGTTCTTAACTTATTGTAAGGTGGCTGAAACCAAAAATAAGAGTCCCCATTTTGCCTATAATACAATTACATGGGGTCTGCCTCTCCTAACTCTTAGCTGAAGTTCACAGAATTAAATAATGCAGCTCATGTCAAAGTTTTCACTCTCAGCTCCTAACCGATTGGCAGACTTACGTTTCCATGAAATGTAACTGCTAAAATAAGCTGTGGTCAGCTTGCTTTTAATAGGCATTTGTTTCAGAATTACTCAGCCTAAATGAATTAAGTCAAATAAGCACCCACAAAGTGGGTATTTGCTAGGCAATCTCACTAAAATAATCTGACTTCCAGCCACTGATACAGCCACAGTTTTTCCTCTAGGAATAATATTTTGCATAAGCACACGTTATCTACAGCACAATAGATATTAAGAGTAGATCAGAGCACAGCCCAGATGCCTGTGAAGGCAGACAAACAGTAAGAATATGCTTTCCATGTCTTGAATCCAACTTTTTGGGAGAAAGTTCTTTATTACTAATATGTATGTTAAGACAAATTTTGCTTTGCAAATGCATGAAAATAACATTATAGGATTTTGTAGCGCTAGGAAGGTGTGGTCAAGAGATCACTATAAAACGTGTTAATGCTGCAGAGTTACCACAGAACACCACAGGAGGAGTAGACACCTAAAGGCTAACGACCTGCTGGGTGCCTGGTATACATCCATCAAAAACCACATTGGAAGGAATAACATGTGTATAGTAGAGACAGCTCATCAGGAAAAATAGGAATGTGTTAATGATGCTCCTGATCCCAAAAATATTGCTAGGACAGTGTTTCTTTTCAGTAGATTTCTAGGAATTTTGTGACATCAGTGTTGCACCTACAAGTATAGACATCCCTCTAGTATTGCCATCCTAACCATGACTGTGAGCAACCTTCCTTATGTAGCCAGTGAAAAGGATTTTAAGTTACTCCAGAGGAAGACATGCATCCGTATGATTCGTGTACGATACAAAGCTACGCATTTATCAAAAGTATTAAAATCCTTGCTGAAGGTTTAGCACCAAAACCAAAAACGGCAAAGGAAAAAAACCCCTAGCGATTCTGCTGATGAAAAAAACCCCAACGGATAAAAATAGAGAGACTACCAGATTAGCCCTTGAACAGCACGTTATTTTAATATCTGGTAGATAATAAGCCTTTACACTAAAACCCAGACCCCTGGCTTCAGCCTTCTCTATTTCTCTTAAATAGTCTCTAAATGCACAGTTTCCTTCCGGTGCAACGTCGTCTTAGCGCAGAGTCCAAAGCTTTTAATTCTAGCACTGCTGAAGGACCTAGAGAAAGTAGCTTAGAAAAGTTTGAAGCCTCTATAATACAGCTTTCACGAAGCACAGCGTTGTTTTGCACTGCACACAAAATCTATCGCGAAGCAAGTTAATTAGCTTAATGCGTGCCAAGGTTGCCGATTCATCGCGCTCCAGTCGCTACGGAAATAAAACAGCATTCACGGGGCAGCAAGAAACAGCAAGAGCCACCACTGTGTGTGGCCACACATGTCCTGGTTAGCTGAGCCGGCCAGAAGCCTGAGAGGTGACGTAATTAAAAGGACAGGTTACACGGGACGTCAGCTGGCTGACAAATACTAGTTCCTGGTTGTTTTAGACCAAGAATCCAGTCCAGATTCTTCATGGTTATACCTGTAATTAGAGCTATTATTACTACAGTCTATAGAACTCATCATTTCTGAATACAATCCCCCAAAAAGACCAAACTTGACAAACCTGATGTTTATAACTAATACAACTAATCACTGCGCAGCAACCTAGATTCATGCCTGAGACAATTTCAGAGCTAGGATCCAAAGATACCATCCACTGTATGGTTAAGTCAAAAGACAAATTTCTTTTTGATCGAGACAGAATAGTAGGTAAGACAGATAAACAAGCTTTCCGATAAAGCACACATTGCATAGGCTTCATCTGGGCCTTTTGTAAAATCCTGCTTTTCACAACTCCTTATAAAAAAAAAAAATCTACTGAATAGTGAAAATAGTATTAGCCCAGAGCATTGCTAGTTTAGCTGCACTGAGAAGAGCTGGCGGTGAGAATGCTGCACTGAGGGAAGAACAATTTTGAGAGGAAATACTTAATGTGCACTTCCATAGTTAAAAATCAACTACTAGTCATCCAAACACAAACAAAAATGCTTTGAAGGGAGAGATGAATAGGAAACTAGAAGTAGTTCTCAGTCCTGACAAGAGTCTCATTCAAGAATTATGATTTAAGATAAATCATATCTGTTTACAAAGAAGCTCAACGTCATCTTTGCAGATTGCCAACAGAATTAGCATTGTTTCATCTGGCATATATTATGGCTTAAAGCAAAAGCCTCAAATCACAAATCAAATGTCAAATCAGATTAGCAGGAACATTTATGTCTCACCAGTTAATTTTGGTTGTCATAGGCTGAGAAGAACAGAGAAATAACCTCACCTTAATAATTCTTTTTAAAGTGACCTATAAAGCCCTGTCACTGTAATGAATGCAGGAATAACTGCAATTCCTGTGAAGATATTTATTTTTTTTTATAAAGCTCAGAAAACTTTTCTGAGAACCACAAAACTATATGCAATTTATTATGTAACTCACATCAAACATTCTTCTTTTTTTCCCCCTACAATTTTTCATTTCCAAACAGCAAGGTGTGGGGATTCCATTTCTTACCCATGTAAACTTACTCTCAAGCAGTGGAACCAACTACTTGAAACTCTTCATTTTCACCCCTCTATTTTCACTTAGTTTCACAGCCCTAGCTGTGCTACTGCAGAAAGCAGCTGAGGACAGAAGCGTGATAGCATGTATGTTCTTACTGATACACAAAATTGTACAAGTGTCACGTACCACCAGGACACACGTTACCGAAAGCTACCTGAGAAACAAGCAAGGTCATGCCAGAGTTTGTGGATATAAAAATAAAATTCAAGACACAGGTTATCTGCACATGAAACTACAGAGGTCACTAGTTTGGAAACAAAGAGTATTTCCTTATTCTGCTCAGCCTCCTCAGATGATGAAAATACTTGTTATTCTGAGCTCTGGGTGGAGAACGAGCTTGCCTGCTTTAACCAAAAGCTAGGAATGAGGAGAATCAACTGAATTGAACTTGGCATACATTTACATGTGTGCACTGCATACATTTCGCTAGCAGAAGTTTGCTTATTTTAGAGCAATCATTTAAGGTGACTGCTACCTTCCAGTGAGCAGCAAGCAAGGCCAGTCATTTAAGCCTTCCTCCAACCCAGATCTAGCACCAGTAGTATTATTTCCTGTGCACAAACGATGACTTCCAATATGTACATAGCTTTTTTTAACGTAACAAAAAAAAAAAAGAGTGCAATACTCCATCAATAATCCAAAGAGTCAACTAATAATCTAGTAATATTTTGTATGCAATTAGTTTGGAGTTTTTTGTTGAGGAAAAAGAGCAAAGTAAATATTATTATACTAGACTCTTTAAAGAACCTGTAGGCAATACAAAATATATTATTCCCCATTTTACAGTGCAACTATGGCTTAAGCACAGATGGTAAGGGGAAAAAGAGTAAAGTAATTGGTTTCTTGTCCTCCTGCAATGTTATACTACTTCAAACTAACCTAACTCAAGCTAGCACCACCTGAAAACATTTAAGGTTGAGTGAGCTGATGAGAAGTAGCACCCTTAAAACATTCATTAGTGTTAAGTTTGATTTTAAACATTATTCAGATGAAGATTTGTGTGAGAATATGCTGATACTGGGACAGTAAAATTAATAAAGCTGTGAGGACTAGCCCAAAATTTCAATTATTAAAATGTTTCATTAAAAAACCTGCTATTT